GTACACTTAATGGAGAAGAAAGATTTTTTAAAATAAATTGTTCTTTTCTTCATGTGTAATATTTTTCAAGTATGAAAGTTCTTAATTTCATTGAAGCATGGACTTTTTTATAGTCATCTAGTCCAGATCCATTTTCAGAAGACATACTCAAAAGTCAAGTCATGTCATGACTGAACCTTTGAAAATGGACATGCCAAAATTTAATGTGCTCTTAATTTCCTGTTGCATAGATCAAACTATTAATGTTCTGTTGTGAATTAAAAATTAAGTGTTCTAGACTGTCAGATTCTTTTTATATTTGTAGACAATTATTCTCACAGCAATATTCCCTAAAACGGAATATTGATGTTAGACAAGAAAACTGATGATCTGTTGGGTGTCATTAGGTACGAGTGAATATAAATAGCTAACATTATCGAGAATATTAAAATACTGTCAGATTGTTCTATTTGTAATTAGAGGTAAGTAACCTTCAAAATTGTACTTGCCTGCTTAAAAATGTACTTTATGACATGACACAGTAATTTCTTCATTAAGTCTCTTGAAAACTTTAACTAGTTACTTAAATACTTTCGAGCCAATAATCCATCTGAAATGTCACTACAAGGCTACTCTTTTCCTTATCTTTCCTTATAAACATAATAGATATGTATTATTAATGTAATTATTATCATTAGTGTAATTATTATTAATATAATTATTATACGTAGTAGCATTAAAATATCATATTGAAATATTAATTATTAGCAGATAATTTATCTACTGTATAATATCTTAATCTAACTGTAACAAGTATTGTATTTCTAGGCCAATGACCCCATCTCGATCAGGTTTTGTTCAGTTTCCCTGGTCCTTTGAGCAAATGCTGAGATGGTCCCTTGTTTGCTCCTGAACAGTAATATAACTTCGCTCTCTCCACCCAAGGCATCATATTGACTCGTCATACACGATTGTAATTGTATATGTGACTCAATAAATATTATTATTATTATTATTATTATTATTATTATTATTATTAGTGTGAATATTGTCAAGATTAATATCCTCAATATTCATCAGTAATAGTCATAGTCTAAAATTCTATGCAGTTATATGTGGAAAAAATCATATTAATAAAAAACTGTCATCAGACATTATACAGAGGACTGAACTGTGGAAGAGAAATGTATCAATTGACATTGTATGTTGTAGTTTTGAGAATTGTGCAGCAGTTGATATGTCATGAATTGTTGTCATCTAAATTAGTCTGTTCTTCATTTCAGATTGACCAGTTATTAAAGAAGGAGCCAACAGCATGAATTGAGGTGATATATCAGATTACATAATGTGTGTTGCCTTGGAACTATTTAACGAGAACATTCTGAAGATTCCATCACTCTCTTTTTGATACATAACATTTCCTGTGCTTCTAATATCATAGAGATATTGCCTTGACACATCTTTGACTACATAAAAAGTATGGTCATGGTCCATATGAAAAGTAAGCAAGGAAATGTTGGTAGTATTTTTAATTGAAACATTTAACACATTTACTGTTCCACTACATGGACATTTTCTCAATTATTGTACTGGTCATGGAAATTTTTCTGTAGATAGGCTCTGTTTTGTACTATTTTTACTTCCTCCTTATATATTAAATCAAAAATATAGAGACAAACAGAATGTAGCAAAAAGTGGAATCTAGGAAAGAAAATACACTGTTCTTCAATTCTTGCTTTTTCTTTTTGTACAAGATGTTATATAGTATTATGAAATATATAAATTATATTGTAATTAAAAATTTAACTTAAATATTTAAATTATTGTTCCTATTGCCTTTGGAATAGTTCCCTTGAACTTAACACACAAAAGGCTGTTGGTTCTGTTGTCAAACTGGTGCAGAACTGTTTTTAACCATGTTATTTACCTTAACAATTTCCTGACAGATGTACTTGAAGGTAATTATACATTTGTTATGCTAAAGTTGCACTACAAGAAAAATGTGATTTTTAATAATGTTTCTCAGTAAAAACAATGTGAAACATTAAAGATCATTAAGAGAACAATTTCATTTTAGCACCTTATTGGCAGTTATGGAGATAGTGAATATATGCATTATAATAATTATAATGTGAACTTCTTTTATTATATGTTCTGTGATATTCTTGTTGTTGTATTTTGTTACACTACCAGTATGGCATTGAATTTTGCATTCCTTAATTAATTAGTGTGTAAAATGAAATCACATGTAAGCCCATATGTGGTAATTGTTATTGAGTGTTATAATATGTAATTAAAAATATATAAAAGATATATTATAAAAAGCTGTTCTAATGTTCTTCAATTTTCTTTTACCCTATAGTTTATCATGTTGAATGAACCTCAATTTTTCTGCCAGGATTCATTTTCTTATGTTTCTTGTGAATCAATCTTTTTGACCTCTGAAAAATAGAAAGGAATGTAGTGTGTGCACTCACTGCTTAAGAATTTGTCAGAAGAAAATGAAAAATAACAGGATTCTAAATTTTTGTAAATGATTATAACAATAAATTGTTCGTTGCACATACCCTAAAAAATATGAAAATAGTTTAAGGTAATAAGATGTTTCCTCTTAGAAATTTGAGCATTCAAGAACAACCTGTCAAGTACTTTTGTCTTCTTATTTTTTTAAAAAGGCTGGTTTGATCTCTGATTGGAATTGTGCAATGGAATTGTGTGTCTTTTAATATATGTATTCAAAAGAATGAAAGTAACATCAACCTGACTGTGTTTATGTCATTGGGTATTCAAGAAGGTTTAAACCCATAACTTACCACTTTGCATCAATAACGGCAGTACATTATTTTTAAATTACGCCATGTTATAATTTTCAAAAAATTGTGTTTCTGGATTGACAGTATTGATTTATGTTTAATTGAGCAGCAAGTATGTAAAAAATAGTAGTTATACCCCTGAAACTGCTTTTGTGGCCATGACAATGACATTCATATAACTGACAATTTATGCATTTTTTCTATTCTTTTGAAACCAATTTTTTAATTGAATTTTTTCTAATCGTCAAAAATACTTAATGAGTACAAATTAATGTCTATTTTATAAGTTTGATAATAATTAAGATCTATTTTTCAATTTTCTGTTGATGACAGTTATTGTAATTCGGGAAGTGTAGAAGATTTTGAAGACCCTAATTACTTATGAACAATGAAGGTAGAACCAACAAAAGGAAATCATACTACCCGAACCAGAAGAACGTAAATGATTGGATTAGGGACCTTGGCCTTACAAAGTCCAATGTCTTCAAAGTACATGCATCCGGACTGAGGCAGTCAAACTTTTTGGATGAAAGTGTCAAAGCAGAGGAAGTGACAATAAGTTTTCCATATTTTTCTCTCTTTATTCTCTCAGTATTATTCCATAATGGTAAGAAGTTTCCATCTATTCCCCTTGCCCATTCAGCACAGCTTACAGAAGAGTACCACAATGTGAAGAGAACGTTAAATGCTTAAATATGAAGAATATTGAGGGGAAATTATTGGAGACTTCAAAGTGATTGCCTTGATGGGCCTTCAAGGGGTTCGAGGGTTTACTAAGCAAAGGAGGGATTCCATGCAATCTTCGTGGGATAGCAGGGAGACTAAAGCACACTACCATAAATGATATTGGTCTAAACATACTGAATTCACTGAGGGATAACAATTCATTAAATGGGAGTCACTTGTAACCTCTCGAAAGGTACTAATGCTATGTTTGCACATAAAAATGGAACTGATTAAGAAATTAGTGGCAGCATTCAAGCATCTAGAATATCTATTCCCAAAGCTTTCTGAAGTAAAAATTAAAGCTGGCATTTTCGTTCAACATCAGATCAAGAACGTTATTGGGTATTAAGAGTTTCCCAAGTTTCTCAGCATACAGGGGAATGAGGCATTGATCAGTTTTGTTAAAGTAGTTAACTTCCTTGGAAATCATAAAGTTGAGAACTATGTTGAATTGGTTGAGACTCGTGTTAAAAGTACAGCAAAATTGGCTGTACTATGACTCTCAAAATACATGTCCTTGATGCACACCTTGATAGCTTCAAAGAGAACTTGAGTGCCTGTTCCAAGGAGCAAGGGGATCAATTTCATCAGACCATGCTACACTTTGAAATGTGCTGCCAGGTAACCAATGAACACATGAGGAGGGACTATATTTGGGAATGTGTTCATCCCAAATCTCACAAAATATTTCTAGGTTCCTCGTTATCAATTTGTAAAATATTGGATAAAATATACTATTGATTTGAAATATGATGCTCACTTGTTTCTTTAAATGTTGATAAACCCAAAATATTTGTATGTTTCCTTAATAATATTATTCATATTTCTTTTCATTTTCCTGACCTCAAAAACTTTTTATTCTCCTGACCACAAGCAATGGATATGTTTTAAAAAATATTACTATGGTTGCTAGGTATTTGCTAGGAAATTATTTTCATTTTATTGTTATATTATATACATTTACTGTTGATACCAACAGGAATTTCTTAAAAAACAGAAAAAAATGCAGTCTTTAAACAGAGGCACAGTTTTTTATTAGAAAACTAAAACAACACATTGTGTTATATCCTTTAAAATAAGGGATGAAATTTGTCAACTGATAAAAATTTCTCCAATGTGAAGTAATTTGAACCTTCACTCTTTTAAGTAAGATAAACAATTTTGAACATATATTCATATGTGTTCTCTGATACTTGCATATAGTTTACTTTCTGATCTGTAGTATGTGATTTCTAATGGAATATTCAACCATCCTAATCCTTTTAACTCATCCATCGAATTTCTGCAATTAAGTAAAATTCAAATGTGGAGAAAAAGTATGATGATAAATGTATAGTGCATAATGTTGAATATTTAGATTCCAACACAGCTCTTTTTTTTAATAAATAAGATTTACTTGCTAATTTTTAAGAAAATAAACACAAGTACTTTAGTATTTTTGTTGAATTTATTAAAAAACACATTCAGCACATAAATGTCATTGATTTTTCTAAGCTTTAGCACCAATAAATAAATGACAACAGAAAATTGCACATAATCTTCAGTGTAAAACTGATTGCAAGTACAGTGAAACCTGTCTTAAGCAGTCTCTGTTGGTTCCATGCAAAAATTGGCCATTAATAGAGATGGTCGCCTAATCAAGGTCGTGATGTTACGGAAAGTGTAGATAAAGTCTTATCGTGCTAATTGCTGTAAACTAGATATGTTTTCGGAAAATCATTTAAATGCCCAGCAAACTACATTTGAATTACAGTATAAGAATCTGGCAAATCTGACACACAGATTTCGCTTACTTTTTACAACAACAACAACTCACAAATATGATTAAATGTCGTATAAAAATATCAGCACTTTTTCTAACTGAGACTCTTCTCGTTTTGTAAGACCACATGTCTTCTCTTGACGAGCCTTGACCTACTGAAACGCAATTGTCCGTCCCCACCGAACCGAACCCACAAGCGAACTGGATTTCAATCGGATGAGTTTCTCGCATGCGGTCGTCGTCAAATCGGTTACGCGCTCCGCCTACCACCAACAGGTTCCCGAAGAGGGAGAAGGAATTAGGGGACGTCTTGAAAAACCTCTTCGTGGGTATAAGCGAAGCGAACACGTAGTTATTTCGTAGACTCAAATCATCTGTTTTTACCTTCCACAAAATGAAATCTTTGCCATAAGAACGACTCTGGATGGCACTTTTCAGAGTTACCCCTTCCCAGGAAGATATTGTAACAAGCCTATATCAACAGCCCTTCCGCTTCTTATTATAGTACGGTTCATTCTATTACAACTTGTGGCGATCGCATCTTAGACGTTTACCTATACTTCTATTTCTCTATAATGGCCGATGACATTAGATCATTGATAAGAGGCCTTATAAAATGAATCTTTTTAACAGTGGCACATTTTAGAGGCAACGATCCCCGCTGAGAAGGACGTTCGCGAATTAATTAAAAATATTCATTTTATAGGGCAGGAGGTGTAATAATGACCTAATGGCCTCAGCTACTATAGAAAAATCGAAGTATACGAATTATGCGGCAGTATATTACACTGCCGCTGGCTGCAGTGCCAGGTCCCGGTTGGAATTGAGGTGGCCACTTTTGCATGTTCCACTGTATGTTATAATTTTGTACAACTTAACAATAAGAACATTAAAAAAATACATAATTTACATAAATTCTACAATATTTCACTCTTCTCATGGAACTTTATGTACAATACAGTCTCTGGAGATCAGCGAGCAAGCAACCATAATTTATTTACATTATATTCTCCTTTTAGGACCAGAGAATTCTCACCTACCATTTTCTTCAGAGTATATTCAGAGATACAAAAATGTTACATCTCTTCTACTTCATAGCAATGAGTGTGATGAGTGATTGCGACATGAATTCTTCTCAGTTTCTGAAATATAACACACAGATGTAGTTCGACTTCTAAATTAGTGCATTACTAATCAATTTTCCAGAACTAAATGCAGAATTTATTCACAACACAAAAAACATAGGATAAATTCTAACAATTTACAAATCAGAATGGATAAGTGTTTATCATTTCATCATAATGTTTCCTTTATAAAAGTATCTCAATGTTATTAAAATAAAATAAATATTTTAATGTGAAAAATAAATACTGAATGTATTAATTCAAATGGATTTTTTTTAAATTTACTGCGTCCCCCAAATTCTGAAGGAGCGTTGAGCGCGTCGTGGAGTAATCCTCCGTTAATTTTAAATCGAAGTAATCATCCTCTGTTCCCCAGCACCCTCTAGGAGCCGCTGGGTAGTCAAATCATGTCAGTCGCAGTCAAGTCAAGTAATCGCCGATAGGTAGCGTCTTCGCGCTCGCGTCTCGAACGCGCCCTGCGTCATCTACACATCGGTCAGAATTGGGAAGGAGTAAGGTTCGGGGCAAGGTTTAGGACGCTTCACAAGGATTGGACTAGCCCCTGTGAAACATGCAAACTTTTTTTGTCAGGTCAATTTTGGGAAAAATCGGATGAACGGTTTAGGCGTTTGCGTTGACCACAGACGGACAGTTTGACGTTTTGCTGACAATCGATTTTTCTGTATCAAGGACTCATAAGACATTGATTCTGGATACACCACGTATTAGAGGAAGTAATTTACTTTATATAGGGAAAGTTGCATTTATCCCCTTTTTCGTTACCAGGGCACGACAATACGTTTTCCTGTCGAAAATTCGCCGTTTCCAGGCGCGCGAAGTAATATGAAGAAGACACACGTAGAAACAAGGTAACCCACACTTTCACAAAAATCGGGATATTAATTATTACGAATTGCGGGAGGCTTTCTGTGGTTTATCGTTTTACTGCCTCTAGCCCTCCAAATATTTATATTTTCGTACTTATCAACAATGAACATTCCGCCAAAATATACATATACTATAGATTTGTCAAATTATATGAAAAATGCGTTAATAGAATCGTATGTGATCAGATGATAATATGATATTATTACATTACCATAATGTAATGTTGATGATCATGTCATGATCCAGTAGTTGGCAGGTCCATGCATGAGCCATCCAGATCATCAGTTAAAACACCTGCAAAATCAACTTGAATTCACATCTGCATAGATATATCTAGTAGAACACTTTTATAAAAAATGTAGAGTAATTGTATTAAATCCACTACGGAATAGAATATTTACTCATGCCCAGTGGCAGAAATTCCTTTTCTCATTACCAGTGCTTACAATTCAATATATTTTAAATTTACCACAAAATATTATTTGACATGCAGTAGTTCCAGATGTTTCTTAGAACTCGTTTCCTGATCGAATTGCATACAAATCTTTTCACCCCCGATTATAATAGAACTTTTTTTGAACTTTTTTCCTTTTTCATAATTGTTGGGAAAAAAAATTGAGATCTGATATCCACGATATTTAAAATGTGATGAGAATTGACTACTCAAATCTTCGAGCTTCCGAGGAAGTTAGGAGTATTAGAAACAAATGCCGACTTCAACTTTCTTAAAAAATAAATTATCAATATTATCAAGTCATACAAATTCAAACGGTTGGAACAACTAGGTTTAGCTACACTATTCATCTGACAAACGTTTGCTGAATAGTTACTTTTCAAGTCGCATTCTATCATGTGCATTTCTTAATAATCTTTGCATCCAAATACATAGTTCTAATCAATCTACAAGAAGTTTATCGGAACACATAACTCTTATAAAACCATGTTATAAATACAATTAGAAACAAGAGAATACAAATACATACCTGCAACACAAGCTGTCAAGAAACAGACAGCACAACCAGCCAAAAAGGCTCTGAAAGCTACCTCAGCAATGTCAGATCTTCGATTGGGGGCCATTGAGGAAAGAGCTCCAATTACAATTCCAATGGAGCTAGGATTTGAAAAGCCGCATAGTGCATATGTGGCTATTACTTCAGATCGACCCTAAATCAATGGGCATAATGTAAATAATTATTTTCCGCGCGTGTATCTGAGCAATATTTCTATTATAATAGTAAATGCGAAATTACTCACACATATTTTTCTTGCGTCTATTAATTTTCCAAGTTCTTCATAAGCTACAAATTCATTAACAACTGTTTTCAATGCCACTACCCTGGCAACATCAGAACAATGTTCTACTTGAACACCCATGGCCCAAACTAGTGGATAGAATATCTTGGTGAGAATGAACTGCAAGTCAGAAGTCTTGGATTAATAAAATTGTATACATTTATGTAATTCAGTTTGGATGTTTTAAGCATAAACTTCAGATATACTAACTGTAAAACTAATTGTGTTTTCTCCAGTTAGACCAACAAGTTCACCCATCCATCCCACTACACCGTCCAGAAAGCTGATTGCAGACACAAAGGCAATTAAATTGGCAATGATTCCCAATACGAGTGATATTCCACTCATTGCCCCTTTTGTGGCTGCATCAAGGACGCCGGTTTCGTCCCTAAAATAAATAATTATGTCAAATTAGTGGCCTGCTGCATCAAAGATGTTTCTGAACAAAGTAACACGAATTGGTTTTCCAGACAGTTGCATGCACACAGCTCAAGAACAACAAATAAAATATAACACTGCAATAAATTAAATATTTTAACAAAAACAGTCTTGACTATTGCAATAACATAGTACTATACTATATACAGTACAACAGTTCTTCACATGCCAAGAATATCAAAAAGTTGCTGTTCCATAATGAAACTTGTAAATAGCAAATAGTGTCGGTTTCTCCCTTGGAGTTTTGCTGTTGCATAACGTCAGCTGTGACGGAAACATGGACACTGAGAACGATAATTCAGTAGTATGAAGGAATAATTTCAATAATCAAAACATTGGCTTCTTTCAGTCAAAATCGAAACTGTTTCATTGTTCTTTGATTTTTTTCGAGTTCTTGGATTTCTGACGAAACCGTAGAGATTTTTCATATAGTCGAAGGCTGTATAATTTCATTTTAATCTGTACATAGAAAAGTAGTATCGTAATGTAGGTGTTTTTAAATTTCCCCCCCCGAATTCTTTGCTATCTAACAAAACCATATACATATCTCAAAAGGTCAGAGGATGAGTAGTTTTCTTTCAAATTCTGCGCGCATACGAACACTTTTCATCAGTTTTACGATTTAATTCGCGACTCTCTAGATCGCTATCATGTAAACTCCACTCGCATTTCCTGCGCTTCCTTGTGTACGAAATTCATTCAACTACTGTAAATTTTCACAATGATACTAAATGGTTGGGGTTTGCTTGGTAGCAGTGAATCAAAACAAAACAAGACCGGACACCACTGTTGAACGTAAGATTCAACGCGACTTCCGTTTTCTCGCATGCGGCTTGAAGACGTTCGTTGATGCTTTGAAGATACTCGTAACAATGGAATAACAAAGCTTCACTAAGGAATGTCTTCTTGTGAAACTAGAAGGGCTACAACAACGCATACTTTCTCGCAATATTTCGTAATCGTTATGAAATATTATTTCACAATTTCCGCCTTTCTTACACTTCAATATCACTTTATTTCATAAATAAACGAAGTGTGAAAAATAGCTTTTTTTAAATTACTATCTTTTAATGTTGATGAACATGTTATCACCATCGTTTAAATGAGTCAGTTATGTTTAAATAAAAATATATTTTTGGCATTGAATTCAGTGTATTAAGGTTTTCAGTGTATTCACGAAAACATGTGATGTGTATTTGAGGCGTAAAATATGCTGCATAAGCAGTATGTGAGAAAGTACAAACAGTACCATCCACCGGCAACGCTCGTTTCCATCGTTTTTCAGAATTCCACATGCGTATGAGTTAGGGTAGGGATCAAAGAATTTAAGAAAACGTTCACAGAATACATTTCTCCCCATAGTGCGTCACACAGTTTTTAACTGTTTGACGTTAAATAAATAAAACACAAAGCTTCATTATACATAGCTCCATGTCCATGTCCAACAATTAGAAGAATTCAAAAGAATTTCAAACTGACACAAAGTGCGGGAAATTCAAATATGCAATTTCAAAACGTGTAAAATTAAGCTAAACTACTCATATTTTAAACAACTCTACATGACCTGCTTTAAAAAACTGATTTTTAAAACAGTTATCATGTAACACAAAATCCGTGTCATCATAATTGTACTTTTGCGGTGTTAATTTTTTGTTTGCAATTTTCGAAAATACAGAGAGTGCACCGAAAATGAGATCAGCATCAAGATTTTTACCGTACTTTGCTATACACAAGAGAAAAATCAAAGACAAATTTGGTGCCATTTTTGAGAAGTTAATTGTTAAATTTTTTAAAGCGTCTGTGTTGCACGCAAAATTCTCATAGTTTCAAAACATTGAACATGACCTTATTTGAAGATCTGTTTATGAAAAACACTTTACACTTTACTTACTTTTCTGTTTAACAAATTAAAATTAACATTTGTAACTCCATAGAAATTTAATAATTATTTAATTGGCAAAAATAACTGTCTTACATTTTGATAGATAAATACGCTCTGTGAAGTCACGGAGTTTAAGCGAATTCGAGACATAACGGATTTCTGGTTGGGTGACCGTCTGAAAACCCCGCGATCCAATAGCGCCAAGCCCCTGGCCAATGGATAAGACACTGCGACGTGACGAGACTTGACAAAAAAGTGGTGCTACAGAATGACACAAACTTTCTCGTAGTTAGTTTTCTATTTGCTTTGGTTTGGGTTAACTTTTCGGTCTTGGCCCATCCTCTTGCCAGCTGCCATCTATCACTGCCCAAAGTATATTATTTTTTTAATTTCTCCATTTTTCGGTTCACTAATGGTATAACCGAAACATTTATTTTAGAATATTATATAATAGTAAACCTCGTCCTATATGGAGAAATTTCGATGAAAAATTTGGAGCCATTTTTAAGAAAACACTTTTAGACGTTACTGTAAATCCAAAATTTGAAGCTCTTTTTAACAGAAAATTTTTGAGTTCCCGAAAAACTTCATTAGAAGTTATTTGAAGCACTTTCACTCACAAATGAAATAATATTTACAAATCACTGGAAATGTTCTTATTAATTTCGTGAGAGATTTCTAAAACAAAACAAAAAATTGCGAAATAAAAAAACAAACAAAATAATACAGCAAAATGGCTTTCGTGACGTCTCAAACAGTACAATTAGCACTACCCGTGCGAAAAGTGTTGGAGAAAATTTTGAGCTATTTTTGAGAAAATGGCGGTTAAACATTTCTGAAAATGCGAAATTTTGAGCTCATTTTCGCAGAAAACTTTGGAGTTTTTGAGAAACTTTATATGGTATCATTTAAATCACACGTATTCATAAATGCAATAATGTAAACAAATTGCCACTAATGTATGTTTATGTAAATATAAACCACGCGAGAGATATAAAAAAATACATGCGTGTAATTTTTGAATAACCAAAATAATAGAGCAAGATGGCACGTATGTCATCTTATAGAGTACATTTAGCACTATTCCTACCAAAAGTTTAAAGAAAAATCTGGAGGCGTTTTTGAAAAAGTACAGTTTTTGTTATTTTTAATATTACACATATTTCATGCAATATTGCGCAAAAACTTCTAAAACTTTAAAAAAATGTGCATGACCTGGAAAACAAATTTTACTTCAAGGAAAAATCTTCGTCTTCAATTCTTTAGTTGTAGGATGATGCCAAAAATATTTGAAACTTGCAATTTTCGAAAATTCAGAATTAACAGTGAAAATCGGATTTATACCACCTTTACAAGTGCATTTCACTCTATTTTTTTTACAAGAAATTTAAAGAAAAAATTTGGAGTCATTTTTGAAAAAATTGTGAAAAAGTTCCCTGGGGTTCATGTAGAGTACCACAAAAATTAATGAATGTTTTTCAAAATTGCAAATATTCTAGGGAAGCCAGATCGACAGGGTTTTTCAGTTTTGAAAAAAAATTAAGCATTGTTTTGGCGCTTGTGTTGTTCACAGACGCACAGGCGTTTTGAAAAAAAAACAACACGTTTTTGATATCAGGAGACCTCAAAACGTGTATTGACGCAACATTTTTTTTAAAGAGCTTCAACCGAATCTTTCTTCCTCTTTGTATTATTACTACTCATATACAACAACTCAACAACTACTCATATTATTTTAACATGCATCATATTTAAAGATATAAAAATGGGGGATAAATTGCATTGTGAAAGAAATAACACGCAAAACGTTCATTTTTGTCCGAAAGATATATATCCAATTGTATGTTTACATTTTTACAATTTTACTTCAAAGGTTTAGGATTATCATATTTTATTAAGACCTATAATGTGGCAAGAATGATCAAACAAGAAAAATTCCTAAATACTTGGAAATGGGTAGTTCACACTGTAAGACGTACTGCTACAGCAACACACATTTTCTTGTATTGTTTGTAACAATACTAGTAGAACCCGTGCGAAAATTTCACACATATGAGCTCGATTGCATGATATCACGACCACCGGTAGCTCGTTACTTTCCTGCATATTCTATGGAGAGGAATAATTACTCACATTACCTCAACAGTACTTCTCGAATTTTTGATTCGATGTTGGTTGCAAGAAGAAGCACAATTTTGTACTCGAAAATAGGGATGTCCATCTGTATGGACGCACGGACGTATAGATAGAAGTATGTACCACGGATAACTCCAATTGGAAGCTTTTGCGCTAAACTTTGTGATTACATAAGGAGTAAGATCTAGATGTACCGTTCCGGAGACCATTAGGAGGTATGAATTTTTGGGGTACTTCACACGAGCCCCTGTGGCATTTTCACAATTTTCTAGAAAATGGCCGCGTTTATAAATATAGTATATACTCAATTTTTAATAAAAACTCTGAAATTTTGAAAATTACAAGCGTTCAAATTTATTTTCAAACCTGTCCGCCTCGAATAATCAAGCAGGTGATTTCTCTCCAATGAAATTCATTTCTTACTTTTAGATCTTTAAATGATATGATGCACATTAAAATAATATGAATAATTATTGAGTAATAATACAAAGCTGTGAAAAAGATTCGGTTGCCACGCATTTCCACAATTTTACCTTGGGGATCGTCTCATTGATGCAACACATACCTCTGCGAGTGTTTCCAACAAGTAGAAATATTTTCTCTAACTGATATACGAAATTCTGCAGGTTACCGTGTCCAGTGTTTTTATACGTGAAATTTCCGTGATGGTTAGATATGTCAGCGCCTCCAAAAGAGTAGAAATTTGGCAATTTTTGATATTTCGGAGCTTTTAATAAAAATCGGACCTGTATCATGTTTATAAGTCCAGTCTTCACTATTCTAGAAAATAATTAAATGAAAATTTAGAGTTTTTTGTGAGAATCTTGTTTGGGTATATTTACGTATTAAAACTTACAATTTTACACAAGTAGGAAAAAAATACTGTATTTGAAAATATTGCACATGACATTTTTAAAGATCTAATTTTGAAAATGGATTTCATTAAGAAAATATTTCTATCTTCAATAATATAGTAGTAGGAAAGGGTCGAAAAAATTAGAACTTATCCAATTGTTTAAACTTCTGATGTTTTAATGAGAGAGTAATGTTTAATAATGAGACGAACGGGACATTATACCATATTTATAAGCGATGATAAACACCAGCCGAAATGCCGAAGCAGTACCCTAACAAACGGGCCACGTACCGTACGCGATCTTTCCTTCCTTTTCCTTGTCCTATCATCACACCTCACTTACTGACTTACACACATATGCACTACACTATCACATTTGTCCGGAGATCAGTCGAAGGTTTGGAGTTCGTCCCGGCTGGGGGCGATACCGCGCTGGGGGAAGGTACCTGATTAGGCAAACTCCCCACAAGCCCACGTAGGTCGGCACCAGATCTCGCCATCCAGCAGGGAAGAATACCGCCATCTGGCGCGATGAAAAAATGTATTGCGCCTACGGGACTAATGACCTTACCAGCAGATGCGCCAGAAATTATTAATCCAAAAATTAAAAGACTTTTTTTGTCAGGCTCCTCAAAACGATATTTTTCCGTCAAATTTAGTTTTCCGTCGTTGGTGTCCCATAATGTTTTTTTCTGCGGAAATACTTGGAAATATCCTCAGCGCTTAGACTGACATTAACTATAACCTTCTGGATATTATAGGAGAAGAGAAATCGTCAAGAAACTGCAGTTCTGTGACGTAGAGTTTCTCACCAATAAGAATCATTTGTTCATCTAATTGGGAAGAAGACAGCGGTGCAATTTCTTCCACCGGGGATTGCTCATCCATGTAATCGTAATAATCGTAATAATAGTAATAATAGTAATAACAGTAATAATAGTAATAACAGTAATAATAGTAATAACAGTAATAATAGTAATAATAGTAATAATAGTAATAATAGTAATAACAGTAATAACAGTAATAATAAATCGTAATAATAGTAATAAAGCCGTCCTCGTGGAGCAGATGGTTGTGGCAGCCTTCGTTTGCGCCGAGGAGGCTGCAGGTTTGAGTCCTGCGTAGGCATGGTCGCATTTGTGACTGCCTTTCACACTTCATCATCCTTTACCGCATTCATAATTCAACAACCTTGCTTTACCAAGGGATACAGTCGAAAAACTGATCCCTATAGTGGCACACGTTAATTGTGTAGCGTGGTCAGTAATAATAATAATAATAATAATAATAATAATAATAATAATAAATCATCAAATACATTAAATTGTCTGTTTAAGAATTAAATTGCTTACCCTTTCTCTAGTCGGATGTTATCAACAGTTGTTTTTGATTCTTCACTCTCAGGGTAGAACAGTTTTGCAAAACATAGTGCGGCAGGTGCTGACATAATGGAAGCAGTTAAAAGATGTGAGGCTTTGACACCAAAACTTATATAAGCTGCTAGGACAGTTCCTGAAATAAAATGGTGGACACTTTATCAAAATGAACACGCGCAGATATTTTATGTTCTCAAACTTAATGACTATTTTTTTTTACTAGTTGAACCCGTGCGAACATTCTACACTTGGTAATAATTGTTTCGAAAATTAAAATAACTTAATACTAGAACCCCCTTTCAAACGGCTAGGCGCCGAAATAAGTGTTATATCAGAACATTCTTACATTAGCATGTTTTAGTGCAGAGAGACTTAGAGTTGGCAAATTAAATTGCACAAAATTTCAAATTTTTAACTCAGTTTTACTTAAGAAATGCTGCTTGTTTCTTACTATCCGAGCAACGGCGGGGGATACCCAGGAGAGCTAAACTTCTAAAACTACTGCAGAAGATAGAAAAATCATTTTGCCGATCACGAACTTTACCGAAAAAAATTAAAGGATATGTTATAACGCAGTTTCAGACGTAAGGCTCTACATGCAAGAGAGTTACGGTTGTAAAATGTTGTGTTAGTGTTTAATGATTATTCATAGCTTACTCTACAAAACTCTACGTTTTTAACCATGAATCTGTTTGATACGTCCCTGAGGAGTAATTTCCTATCTAATACGGAGTTTTGTGTTGATGGCATTTTTATAAATCGTAAAAAACGATGCTTCCTTAACGCATTAAAGAGTGCGTTTCAGAAAACACTGCAGAAACGTAGAGGGCAGGAAGGGGTCAAAGGAAGTAGTTTTCGTCAACAACGACGGGATCTTGGAGGCTGAGCTCACCGTTAGGCAGCGACTAAGAACGCGACTGTCCCGCGCGAGGTCGGCATAAAAACGCGATCTAAGAGTCGTGCTGGTGGCCAGTGTTTCAGACTGCAAGGAGAAGGCAGCACTACACGTTACGGGGCAATTCGCCAAAGAACGTCTCATTTTAGGAGGGAAAGGAGAGGGAGGGAGGAGAGGTGTTGGAAAATAAATCATGTTTTCTGTGCTATAATTTTAAATAAGAATAATAGAGTAATTGAGAGTTAAATTGCACTGAATTCATCAACAACAAATATACAGCGTTTCCAGGGAGGAAACATCGAAACTTAGAAACTTTGTCTAATAAACTCATGCGATATTCCGAATGGCTTAGCACTCAAAATTTGGTTTGAAAAAATACGTTCCATGCAAAAATTTGCGTTTCAGAAACATATACACTCTAGAAATATGTAAATTGTTTATAATTTACACAATAAATTAATATACTTGTTCAGAAACAAAAATTAACCCAGAAATAAAAAAGCAGTCGAATTGTGAATTTTGGGATACTAGAATTATTCTTCAGATGACTGAACTCGACCTAGCTATCCAGACATCAATAAAAGGCTTGACAATAAAGCCGGTACAACCATTTTTTTTAAAAGAATGGGCTTAATCAAATCAAAGTAATATGAATATTTCGTACTCCTTTATTACTAATTTATTGCTCGAAACGAATATTACTATTGGCATGATAATATAACGACGAATAGGAAGTTATGCAACGAAGCAAGAATGGGAGAAGGACATTCGCATAAAATTAATTAGATAATTAAATACACATTTATTACTCAATTTTTTTGTTACCGTTTATTATATAAATATTGCCGGAATAGAAGTTATGCAAACATATCCGACTATATATAATAGGAGCACGAATGGGCAAATTAAAAAATAACCAATTAGATAATTAAATATTCATTTATTACTAATCTAATACCCCAAACTTAACTTTATTTCTGTTGTCATTTATTAACTAATTGATGTCATGTAAACACGAGAGGTATGTTCCTATGACAGTCATTGGCGTACGTAAAAGTACAAACGCACCCAATAAAACAATAACTGGAATATTTATTAATCATTTGTTACGTATTTATAACAATTTGCAAATTTATTTTTATTTTTAATATTGAAATTCACTTACCAGACACAGTAGCAAATCCGGCTGTCATTATGGCATGGATTTCAGACTTTGTCAAATCCTTTATGTAAGGTTTTATGATCAAAGGTGCTTCTGACTAAATGGAACATTAAATTATATACAATGAACCGTATACACTACATGAATATTAATTTATCACTGTAGAATTTACTAGCACTGTAATGACTAACAGTGCAGGTATTACGAACACTGAATATTTCATACCTGACCAAGAAAAATCGATGCAGCCGTGTTCACAGATTCACACACTGTTGTTCCCATAGTCACTTGCAATATCCAACCTAATTTCATCACAACCCACTGCATGACACCCCAATAATATAATATTTGCACAAAGAAACTGAAGAAAAATATCACTGATAGAACCTGTAATGGAAAATCCAAATCAGAATTTCATTACTTTTCAAGTGTAAGTAAAAAAAAACGTTTTGTATCCTTACCTGAAATGCAAATACACCGGATGCCAATTCAGTTCCATACACAAAACTGGCTCCTGCGAATGTGTAATTCAAGAAAGTTGTAGTTTTCGTTCCAAAGCATTGAAAAATTAGTTTACCTACGTTCCACCGTAGAGTGAAGAGTCCAAACAGGAATTGAAGCAACAAACCACATAAAACGGGTTGCCATTGTATCTACAACAACAAAGATTAGTCATTTTTCTTCTTTTCTCCACTTTACCTCATTTTGCATGGAGAATGGCGGATTTATTGCATATTCGGAGGAGATGGTCAGCTTGAACTCGATTAATATATTGTCCAAATTAACCTACTATTCATATTAAACCAGGCACAAAATTATGACCTGCCAACAAATGATGCTACAGCATTATTTGGAACTTTTCCAATTTTCGAAAATTCAGAAAGTTTAACTAAAATATGACCTATGCCATTTTTAGTGGCTTTTGCTCTACACAAAGGAGAAATTTAAAGAAAAAAATCGAAGCCTGTTTTGGGCAAAAATATAAATTGCCACTTCAAGCAAAATTACGCAAAACTAACCATATTGTCCAAAGAAAGCCGCCAGACGCCAAAGAAATTCTGATCTTTTGCAATTTTCGAAAATTCAGAGAGTTCAACAAAATTCAGACCTATGCATTTTTATATGCCCTTTGTCCCATAAGAGTAAAAATTGAATTAAAAAATTTAATTGAAAAAAAGCATCAGAATACGGAGATACGCCCCGAACACCAAAACCTATTATGATCGTAACTACCAGGAGAGCGGCGACAAGGGAAGAGTGGAATAAATGTTTCACACATTTCAACAATTGGTCAGTCGGTGACATAATACTGCAGGAGACTGCAAGAACTATGAAGTGTGTACTGCAAAGCAGATACAATAAATTATAAAATTCAACCGTAATATAAATATTAACGACGTGCGCGATGTTTAAAAAATTGAGAAATTGAAAGTTTGATTCAAAATGTCACATACGTTACTGTAATTGAGTTAATTAATTGTGCTCTATCCAAATCTCTATACAAAAATTTAAAAGGAAAAATGAAGTCGATTTTGAAAAAAAATTGTTACGTACTTTTGAAATATTGGCATGATTTGATTAAAAATTAGAGCAGGACCATTTATATTTTGAAAAACTGGTACATGCGATCATTAAATGTCCCAATAATAATGGATTGCAATAAAAACAAATCTCTACCTTCAATGATGGTGATAAGTAGATTTTAAAATGTTTAATTTTCGAAAATTCAAACTTTATAATGAAAATTGGAATTTTAAGAAATTCGTAATCTCTTTTTACTCTATTCGAACACGAAATTAAATAAAAACATTTTGAACCATTTTGGAGAAAATTTTGAAAATGAGTCATCCAAAAGTGAAAGATCTATGTCAAGTTCGAATGGCCTTGAGTTCAACCTGATTGATCGGAGAGTAACAGTGTATGCAAAAATTATGTATCTTTAGACACTAGTGTTTTTATCTGTGGGACAAACGCATAGAGATTAATAACAACAATACTTTTTCGGTATCAGGGGCAGCATAGTTCATCAATTTTTCATCGATCATGACATTGACGTTTTGCAGCATTAGTAGCTCTATACTACGTATACGAACAACAGAGGATTTTGTTCTTATGATTCCTGGAAGGAATTACTTTTGCTACCCTTTGAAGTTTATAATTCATATAAATTAAAATTTTTAAGAAACTTATTTCTTAAATATAAACATAGTATTATAACATTTATGACACAAAATACGACAAAGAAGGGATATTCGTTTAGTTGGTTTAAAAAGTCTTCTAAGTCAAACATTTAAAATGTTTCGTACTCAATAATAAATTAACATAAACCGCTTTTGATACAGGTGTACCGATTTCAGATTAATAGGCAGAAAATTTTGCCCAATGGAATGCGATAGTGAAATTGTTTTCTCATGTATACATCATCACCAGTTTATGAAATAAAACATTAAGAAATAAAATACATTTGTGAATTATTTTGACGTATTCTTAAGAAAATGTAACTTGATTTGATACATTTAGTTGCACTACAATGAGCTTATGTTGAAGACTAAAACCATTTATCAACTAAATATGACATTCCAAATAATGATTTAAATTAATATTGACAAAATCTCTTAAATAGTACCTCCCTGGGCAATTGTCCGTGGACCTTGGTCATAAATTCGTGCCTGATTACTAGTCACTAAAAGCGAAAATCTCTTATAAGTGTTAATACATCCCCATCGTTTCACAAGCACCTGAAAAGAAGTAAGAAAATTTCTGTCTGTTTATGAACTAATCAATAAGAAATTTAATATTGAAAGATTAGTTAGCATTACTTTGTTCTAATTCACTTCTATTCCTGGTATGAATAATTCGCCACTGAATGTAAAATGTGAATTACACATACCTTGCCTGGATGCTTCGAAAACACAGCGCCTAAAAGTAATAGAAGTGCTAAGCCAATCAAAGACTTAAGACGGCCTCTATCCTCAGCTGTGTCGAATATCATAAATCCAACAATAAGGACAGTCGGTACAATGTATGCAACAATACGTACCCACCTGTCAACATAACACAGTAACATTATTTTTAAAACTATGATGTTGATAAGAGTCACACTTTAATCAAGAATAATACAGAGAGCACAATTCACATACAGCTTACTGTAGCAAATCAAATGTATGAGAGGCACATAGCAAAAGCTGTACGTTCACAGAGCCGTAGGAATCGGATCATCTACTTCCAATGCAAAAGGTGAAATGTGGTTTACCGTGGATTCAAAAAGAACTAGTGGCATTACAATAGCATATACTTTCTGCCATTATATCTAACTTATGCAATTTTTGAAAATTCAGAGAGTTAAACGAAAGTGAGACGTGCGCCGTTTTTAAACGTCCTTCCTTCACTATCCGTGAAAAAATTTGAGACATTTTTGAAATTGTTTAAATAAATTGCATTAACGTCAAGAATAAATAACATGAACACTACTTTTTTCAAAAAAATTGTATAATGGCCATATTTAAAGATCTCATTTTTTGAACAGATTTCATTGAACGAAAAAGTATCATGATTAATACTGTACGTTTGCAAAGTTGATTCTTTGATGTTTTCAAATATACTGAGTTTGCCGACAATAAAACCTGCAAATTTTTTTTAGCGTCCTTTGCTGTATGGGAGAAAAAAAGTTAAAGAAAAGGATGGAGCCGAATTTGAGGGGGGGAGCTTAAAAATTGCCTCTGTTTCGCGCAAAATCGCGCGAAAACTCCTCAAATTTAATAAAAATTGTACGTGACCATATTTCAAAATATATATTTGAAAAACAGTTTGCTATAGTGGGGAAAATTATACCTTCAATGATGTAGTGATACGAGAAGATTTAAAAAATTTAAAGTTTCGCAAGTTTTGAAAATTCAGATGTAACAATGAAAATCGGACCTCGGAATCGGAAAAGAATATTTCACAGTATTCGTACAATCAATTGAAAGAAAATTCGGGTGGACCAACACAGCACACTTTCTCGCATTATTTGTAATGGCTACGCAATAAACCTGCAAAAGGTTTTCCTACAAGCAAAAAAATTAGAATACTATGAAATATAAATAGTACATATTACGAAAGAGCAATATTGAAAATATTTTTTTCCATAACGAAATATGTTCTTAAAAGACATTTTAAAATTATGGGATTAACAGTTTTCCAAAAATTTAATGTTTTTACGTAATTTTGCATGAAATATGAGCAATTTTTAAACACTTATTTTCTCCATAACGTCTCCAAATTGTTTTCTTTAAATTATTTACTTAGATAGAGTACAGCTTACAAAATGGAAAAGATGCCCCCGTAATAGTTGTATAAAACTAGTTTCATTAATTTTTTTCTTCAAATTTCTTCAAAAGACGCTTCAAAAATTCTGTAGGTTCTATATTCGTCGCACGCTATATATTTTCGAAAGTTGCAAGAAAAAAATTAACATTGTAATGCTACAACATCGGAAACACAGATTTCTACCCTTAATTAAATATGTTTATATGAACTAGAGTTTGAATTGTAATTAAGAATCTCGAAATTTAAAAAAAATACAAATGCAAATATTGAAATTTTGTTTTCAAACTCTGGGAAATGTGAGTTAAGCTGTGAAGCTGTTGGTGTAGGGGTAATGTAAAATGCGTGTCTCCTCTAAGAGTCTGAGTTCGAATTCAAGCGCGGGGAAAGAATGTTCGCAGAATAAAAGATGAAAATAAAGTATGATTGCGTTTGCAAGTTCATGTTATATTATAACATTCCGTACCAGTACAAAAAATGCATAGAAGTATGTGCTATTGTAGCCCCATAAGTTTTCTCTTTTGTAAAAGGCTGGTAATTCCCTTAACCTCCCAAATATGTTACGAAAGAGGACTGGACCTTTTTTAGATCCTGACTTGAAGGACATCTTGCGAAATGTCATGTTCTCAGAAAGAGTTTCTTTAAAAAGAATTTCAAAATGGTTCTTTATTTTGGTACGGATTGAATATTCATTGCGAATTGAGAACCCTGACCAGTTACAAATAAAATGGTGCTACTCCTATCTACACCACTGTGGCTGATAAAACGATTGCTCCACTGACAGCATAAACTTGTGTTATTACCTACGGAAATGCGAAGTAACTCGACTTCATCACTTGTGTTCTTTACAGAATGCCACTTTTGCTGAATTCGATTATCGGCCTAATTTTAAACAAGACGAAAAATGGAATTACAGAACTTGAACTTCAAGGGACTTAAAGTTTATAACGAAATATACCCACGAGTTCTTCGTGCATACAAAAGAAGAATATGTTCAAGTATTTTTGTGCTTGAATCAACTACCTATTTTAAATAAATAAATAGAAAAAAATATATTTAGTTAAAAAATGTTTTGGCGTTTGTCCTTCATACTCATAGGCTACCCAACATCGCAATAAAAGCAGGTGGTTCTGCAACACTACGTACTTTCTCGGATTAATGGATAGCGTTACATATTATTCAGAGTGTCAAGATTTACCAGCACCAAATTGAAACCACGAGGTGGCTAGAATAGGAGTTGCAGAGTTTTTGGAATTGCTCGTGAGTAATTAAAGCTTTCACGTAAATTCATTTCGCAAAAGACAGGCATTCGCCTTACTACGCACGCAAATGTTAGAGCGTTCGGAAATTAGTTCTTTTGTCCCGGCTGCGCGGAGAAAAAATGTTTGTCTTTTCTTTTGCTGACGTCGGTCGCGGGGCCTGGCAGTGATTGCTCTAGTGATAAGTATCTACTTTCAGTAAAGTTGCGAAATCGGAATCCGATGAGGGAGGCGCGACCACCCGCATATCAGAGTCACGATAATTGCCGCGATAAGAACAGAAGCCACTTAGAGGCGTGGGATGACACATAATTGAATCAGGCCCCTAATTCAATAATACAATAGTGTTCGCGCCCGATCATGAAAGAGTGCTGAATAAAGAATGTGTACCCTACTTTTGGACAAAAATAGTATTTTCTGGGAGGGGATTAAGCTTTTGAAAAGTCATTTTATACATTATAGTTCGTCTTCAATGCATAAGGTTCTGTCTTATGGCGAGGGATAGTATAGGCACATGTAATATTGCATCTCTTATTGCATTCCGACACGTTAATAGACACTTTTTTGTATCAAAAACCCCAAAAATGTGTATTTCCTTCAAAATCTCAACTTCGATTTTTGTAGCATTACGTAACTCAATTTATACAACGGATACTATAAAATAAAAATACAACATGAATTATCTACCTTACATCCATATTATCACTAGACAAAATTGTTAGACAAATGCATATTTTACTTTTTTGACATAGATACTCGAAATTAATTAAATGGGTGAAAACCAGAACGGTATAAGAGACATTTTACAAATTCTTAGAAATCAGTTTAGTCAATATTACTGTAAACTCGTGGTGCTTTGTTTCATCATTAAAACCTCAGCATTTCAATTGTTCATTAAAATCAAGAAAATACATTTCCACTCAAATATAGCTTAAAATAAACATGTTTTCTCAGAATTTATAAAATGTCACTTTTACCGTTCTGGTTCTCACCCATTCAATTACAGGCACATTCCGTGACTTTTCGATATTACCGAAACAATATTTATCACCTATTCGTCTATTAAATACCTAACTACTAGATTTAAAAAATATATTGACTATTTACAAGCTGTTTGTAAATCGGTCATCGGAAGATGGTTGTCATCAGTAGAGCGAATTGTCCTTGGAACATCAACGCAAGCCGTTTTGGCACTTTTGATAAGCTAGTGTAACGTATTAGCCAGCGTGCCTCATGGCATCTATTTGGGAACGCTTGGTTGCGGATTAGTCTCGCCACAGGAAGTAGGGTTTTTCCGTAAAGGGAAGAACGCGGAGACGGGAGACACAAGGCTTTGGGTGTCTTCCGGCTTATAGAAGCTTTTCACTGTTATAACAAGCGAGGGGGTGGCGTGACGTAGGAGGTCACGTGGGCCTCGCCTATATAACAGAGTGTACGGAGCCAGTAGGCAGGTTCTGGAGACGGTGGGAGAACCTCGTGCGTGTGCACAAAACTTGGCGCCAAGACGGTGCATATGCGAGCCAGGCTCGCGAGGCTGGAGTCATTAGTTGACGAAGCCTGCGGACTTTATGTCCTTGGGTGACTGCGGTCACGGGGGAGCGATGCTGTGTGCGTGCTCCGAGGTGAAGAGTGGTTGAGTGCCACGATTCACGCCGATTCTCAATCGGATAAGATCGCTCCTGCGATCGAGGCAAACCAGTCGTTGGTGCGCCAGAACGGACTTTGTGTCCCAGCGTGACATCCGGTCACGGAAGCTAGGCTTTGTGCGCGCTTCAAAAGTAGGAGTGGCGAATGCCACAATCAAAACCATCTTCAATCGGGTTTTGGATCGCTCCCGCGATCAGGGGATAGTAGGTCTATCAGAGCTAGGGTTTAAGTAGATTATTAAGTGTATATATTTGTTTTGTTTTCTTGTTAATAAATATCTTTGTTATACGAAAGCTCTGTGTCTGTGGTCGCTGTGAGTATCCATGACGTCACACTAGGAACTGACCAATCGGGGAAAAGTAATTATCATAGGAGGGCAAAATAACATTAATCTGAATGGCCCCGTTACACCTGAACATGTAAACAAATAACAATGACCCGTCAAAAAATATTATCACTGTAGTCTCCACTCTGCCCTTCCAATACAACGTAATATTCTGAGAGATGAAGCACGCAAACCAACAATTGTTGTTTTAATTAAAACTGCCTTCATACTGCTAGTTGTGTACTTTTCATGAACGATCATTCCCGCTTGAGATATGGCACAGGAAATAATGTAAGTTTCTGAATCGTAGATGTATTCCCATCAGATTCCATAACTTCAGTTTAGAGCAAATTTTCTGCTGATGTTTTCCACACACAGCTTAATGAAAATCCAAGCAATAATTTCATGATTCATTCATATTACCTTCACGAAAATAGCTTTTGAAGGTTTTAATTTCCGTTATGCAAAAGTACTAATGTTTATCTCGTTTCTTGGGTGTAATTGGAAA